AAATTCTCAATTTATTGAGACTAAAAGTCATCTATGACAATCAATTTAATGAAGTTGTTGGAAGAATTTATAGTTTACTGTTATATTATGGCTCAGACAGGAGTATCACTTAGCTTGTGATTGCTGCAACAAAAGATCAAACCAATTTCCTCCTGGCTTAGAATATCATCATAGCATATATGGATAATTAATGTCCCCTAACTTGTCTTCCTGAACTCTCATCTCTTCTTTAGCCCTTGTTGCATACACTTGCCAAATTAATCTTAATTATTTGCTTTCATTTTATTCCTCTGTTCAAAAATCATTACCCTATAGGACAAACACTTTAGCTTCACAGTCAAAGCTATCTATAAACTTCCTGTCTTATCTCCCACTATCCCTTTACTTCACCTAAGCCTGCCTAGTTCATTCTCACCTAAAGACATACATGTTCCCACTTTCATGCCTGTACTAATACAGTTGTTGCTGAAATGTTCCTCTGCCACCCACTGAGTTTGCTGTATCTCTAAAGTCTAACAAGGTTGGGTTTCCTTGCTGAAGACTTTATTTCCAAATCAAAATATCTTTATAATAATAGTAATGATGTAACTATAAAAAACCATTCCCTACACTCAGATAGAAAATAAGAGAATGGCTTTTGGCTAAGTGTTTATAGTAGAGACCTTACAAAGCAAAGCTTAAATATGGCCTTTAGTTAATTAACTAAGGTAATAAATAGCTATTAAAAGGCATATGACTGAGGGTCTTTTTATTATTCCCAGCAGACCTATGGTTCCCTGATAGTGAGGTGCTGACTCCATAGTAAGGCAGCTGGAAAACATTAATAGGAATTTATAACAGTGCTTCTCCAACTTGAATAATATACCATCCATCTCCTTTAAAAGAAAAAGAATTATTCTGGACCTCAACTGTTAATCTAGGTTATTTTTGTTATACTGTTATTTATGTATGTAAAGTAAAACAAGGTATAAGCTCATATAGGGAACACCTTTGTTGTTTATTGGCCATTCTCCCTCATGCTAATTCTTCCTAATAACATTTCTGCTTCATTTTGGTGAATTATCTCTACCCAATTGTAAACAGCCAAGGTACCCTGCCTCCCCATACAGAAGCCTAAGTGTAGCAGCAGGTTGCTAATCCTTCTTCTCACTGCTCTGCTCCAGTCAAAGGGAGGTTCTTGAGTGGAGAAAACTGTTGGCGTCCACTCATCTGGTAGCAGACTGGCCAAATGGCTAAGTAGTACTTGCTGTTTCGGTTCTTTTCCGGTTCTTGTTCTGTCTTGGTTCTTTGTCCTGGACCTGAACCTGGCACTCCCTGTGGAAACTGGGAGTAAGTAGCAAGAGAGACTTTCACTGTACACCCATTTATTTTGACTTTTGAAGCATCTAAATGTATTATCTATTCAAATATGGAATAAAAGCACTAATAAACAAAAAATAACGCACCAGTAAACAATGTGGCCTAGCCAAGTTGACATGTAAAATTAACTTTCACAACCCAGCATGCCAAGAGGAAGACTGCACATCATAAGGTAAAGCTCACAGTGAATAGCTGACTCAGCCTGTGATGGCGCAGGAAGAACAGGTCTGGAAGAAGATTGTAAAATGTTATAATGAGAGAATTAGCTTTTGATTGCTTTTTCTTATATAAACCTTTTTTGAATGTCCTTGTGAACAATTATTCATATTCTCAGCTCCTATGGTGGCCAGTCAGACACTATGAAATCAAATCTGAAATTAAGGGGCTTAACTGACCTTTATAATTTCCTTTAAGTTACTCCACAATGCCAAAGGGCTTCTGTACTAACATAGGTGTCATGGTCCTGATAACAAAACTCAAGAAAGTAGATGTAGTCACTGAGAAAGTGTGAAGCACAAGAAGAACAGAAGGCAAGGACAGATGTCAGCGAGGGAGCAGTCAAAGGAATAAGGAACCCAGGAAGGAAGAAGAGACCAGTTCATTGAAAAAAGAGGGGTTTTTAATCTGTGACCCATGAACTCCTTAGGGGCCCATTAATGGGCTTCAAAGGATTAACTATCTCCCTACAATTACATGCAAAATTTGCATGTATGTGGATAGCTTTCATCAGATTTCCAAAGTGACTTGTATCTCCATGTCCAAAAAAAATAAATAAGAAAATAAATGTTCACTGAATGTAGCAATTGGAAGATCTCTTCTTTGAAGAGCCATTTAGCTTGGCTCCCTCAACTTCCTTTCCACTTCAACTCACTGCAGTTTGGCTTCTAAGTCCGCCACTACCAAAACTGTTCTCATCAAGGACACTGACATTTATTGTGCAAAACCTGGTGAGTAGCTCTGTTATCTCACTTGACTTCTCAGCCTCCCTTTCCTTCCTACTGGAAGTTGGTACTTTCTTAATCATAGCACCATCGATTTCCTTTATCGCGCCTAGCATAGTCTGAAATTATTTGTATATCATTTGCACCATATGTTTAGGATATAAATTTGTCTAGGACTGGAACATTGCATCTCTTTTTCACTGCTAGATCTCCAGTGTCTAAAAATAGCGTTTGGTGCAGAGCTGGCATTCACTAAATATTTACTTAATGCATGAATGATGAAACTCAAAAGTGGATTCATAGCAAATATTCAATATTTTAAGTTTGAGCTTTTTTCTACGATGGTTTAAATACCATTTTTCTAACAAAGGGGGATAATTAGCCCTATCAACCTATGCTGTTGAGAGATCGAGGAATATGAGACCTTGGTGATTTGAAGTCACAGGTGACAGGTGAGAAGGTAATTTTGGAAGAACTGGAGGGACTAGACAAGCCAGGAGGCCAAGCTGAAAAGGATTAAAGTGAGAGGGAGGTGAGGAATGAGAAACAAGGTGTATATACCTCTTTTAGGGAAAACATTTAGTAGATAAAGCACTTCAAGGGGATCCCACCGTTGAAGCAGCAGTGAGCAGGATCAGTGTGAAAAGGACTGAAGGAAGAGAGGGATCACTCTTTCACTCTAGGCAATACTGGGCAAGTATTGTCACAATTTAGTGAAGAGAAAAAAGTATTTTACAAAGAAGAGGAAGATTCATGTTTTCTGTATCCGTTGGGGGGCTGGTCTGAATTTTGAAGTTATAAAGTCCCCAGCTCTTTTCAGGGCACAGATGAGTGTTAGTAAATTTACCTTCATTCTGCTTCGGTTTTCTTCTAACATGGGGCTAAAGGGGTCCTCCAACCTTCATGCATGTAGTGATAAAACTCATCTGATAAAGCCCATAAGAGACAAACCTGTAAAACTTGTAGTCTAACAAAGTTAGGTTTATTAACTCGCTGACACAAGGAGGCCACACACCAGAGGAGCTGGGGAGTCTTAAAAAAAAAGGACCTGGGGGGCCAGCCGAGTGGTGCATTGGTTAAGAGTTGGCTTGGGACGCCCGCTCTGAGCATCAGGGTCCCGGTTCAGATCCCACGTGAGGGCCAGTGACGCTGCGCCCTCTACAGCTAAGATGGTGAACAACAGCTCAACCTGGAGCTGGGCTGCCATGGGTCGCCTGCGACAGCGTAGGCTGCAATGGGGCTGGCCAGCAGCTGGTGTGAGCTTTCGTGAGCTGCTGAGCGACTGCCTCAGCCGGGAAGAGCGCAATGATAATACCAACATGGGCCAGTGAAGCAACATCCTCCACAACTAGACTGAAGAACAGAAGGACAGCAACTTGTCTGTTCCCCTTCCCCGATTCCCCAACGCTGTTCCCCTCTCCCAATTTCCCCAAAATCTTAAAAAAAAAAAAAGAACCTGGGGAAACCACAGGATTTGGAGGAGTGTAGGTAAGAATGAAGAAGGCTCAGGCCTGGGCTATGAAGCAAGCTCCACGGTGGTTTTGTATCCTTGAAGACCATAAAGTTAAAATAAATGTGAGATGTTACATTTGAAAACCCCTTATTTGAAGCTCTATTCTTGGATTGGAAAAGCGTCAACATGATCCACGTGGCTCAGCCCCTCCAAGCAGGAGTGGGATGTTCCACTCTTACTGACAAGATTTCAAACAACAAAGAAAGCTTCAGAAAGTTTGTTTTAGGGAACACAGTTACTCAGTCTATGCAGTTTCATTAAACAACATCGGTTTTTGCATATTCATAACAGGTATTTGCGTGTTGAAATTCTTGACTTTATAAACATTCATCTGAAGGCTACTTCCCTGGTGTTAGTGTCCCCTTGGTTGAGTTCAAGGCCTCTTCCATTTATACAAACAATAAATAACAACACTACAGGTATTGCGGGCTTTATTATGTACCATACCCCACTGCTAAACGTTTACTTACGCATCATTTCATTTGATCCTGACAACAAAGCATCGAAGTATTTACAGGAGAAACTGACGCAGAAATTGACATGACTACGGAATTTGCTTTTTCCATTATTGCACTTACTTTAATTCTGCCGTTATGTCTTAACTACCGTATTTCCCCATGTATAAGACGCCCCCATGTATAAGACGCACCTTAATTTTGGGGCCTGAAATTTGAAAAAAAATGTATTATCTAAAGTTACTGAACTCAGGTTTTATGCAACATAAAATTCATACAACTCATCACTTGCGGGAAATCCAAGTGAAAAAAATCTACAACCACTGTATAAGACGTACCCAGTTTTTAGACTCCAAATTTTTCGAAAAAGGGTGTGTCTTATACATGGGGAAATACAGTAATTAAATTTTTTTTCTCCCAGTTTTTGAGGAATCACTATTCTTTTCTGTGACCACCACATGCTTCCTACGTGGTAGACTCTCTATAAACACGGAGCTGAATTACACACAAGACTTGTAATTTGCTAACGTGATAACAAGTGGGTCGGAACATGCGTGTTCCTAGGGCTACTCTGTCCTGGCTCAAGGGAATCAATCGCTCTGGCATTACAAGGGCGCGAAAGTGGCTGAGTCTGGGTGAACAGGGCCCAACAACCTCCAGCTCACTCAGGACCCGCCGGACCGTCGCTCACTCCCGCGGAGGCGGAACTTCCGGTCTTTCTAAAGACGCACTTCCAGCGACAGGCGGAAGCTTCGCTGCAGTCTGGCGAGTGCTAGGGGCACCTGCGGCGGCCACCTGGCTGGTCGCGCGTAAGTGAGCGTCGGAGGGGCTGGGGAGCGGAGGGTGCGAGCGTTCCTGGTGGCCTGAGGCCGGCGGCCACCCTGCAGGGCTCTAGGTGTTTCTTTCCTTTCCTAGAAGTTTCCTAGAAACTTCCCAGGTTGCCAGAGCTGGGCGTTGACCGCTCCCGGCGGCTTTGACCGAACCCGGACGCGTGGGCCTGAGGGTGCGCTTGTGTGTGCGGCTGTGTATGAGCACGTATGCACGGACGTTAGCGTGTGTGCGGGCGTGAGTGTGTGTGCGTGCGTGCGGGTGCATGTCTGTGTGCCGGCGTGCGTGCGTGGTTGTGCGCTTGTCACTTTGGAAGGGGTAAAATTGCTACAGGGGATCAATGACTTGGTGTCACTTTAGAGAAACAGCCCTGTCCTTCCTAATCATTTAACAATTATGATGGAGAAATAATATTAAGTGGCTGGAGAACATTTAACATTTTTACATAATGCTCACTACCAACTGGGGACTGCCTTAAGTTGTGGGTGGGTCCAGGTGAGGATGTGACATCCCTATCCCCAAAGAAACCACAGTTCCGTGGGGAAGACAGGGTTCAGAAATGCCATACTATTAGAGAAAGAGTAGATAGACATGAAGAGAGCTAAGTGACTTCTCTTGTGTCTGACTAATAGAGCCATGGCCGCTGTCATTTAATATTTGTCTCAACTTTTTTCATCTTTTTAGTTCTAACCTTTATGCTTTTCTAAAATTAAATTTATTTTGGTCACATTGGTTAATAAAATTATAGATTCCAAGCATGTAATTCTATAATACATCGTCTGTATATTGCATTGTGTGTGTAACACCCAAAGTCAAATCTCCCCATATATTTGACCCCTGTATATTTTATAAACAGCATATCGCTGGGGATTTAAAAAAAAAAATTTAAGTCAACAGCCTCTGCCTTTTGACTGGCAGGTTTATTGTACATCCATTCATTGTCACTACTGAGATGTTTGTTCAGGCCCGAACCTTTGGAGTCATCCTTGGCTCAGTTTTCACACACCTAAAATCTGTCAAAATTCTATGGACTCCATCTTCAAAATCTAGCCAGGCTCCTAAACCCTTCTCACTGTCTTCACTTGTCCAAGTTACAGTCATCTCTCACCTGGATGACTGCAGTATCCCTCACTAACTAGTCTGCTTTTTCTTCTTTGAGTCTGTTTGCATCACATCTAGAGTGATCATTCTAAAAAAAAAGAAAAAAAAATCAAATTATCTCTCTCCTTTCCAAAAATCCTCCAAGGATTATCTCAGAGTAGAAGCCAGAGTCTTTAGAATGGCCCCCCAAGGTCCTGTGTGATGCAGTCCTGCTTTACCTCGGATCCCCTCTTGTTCTCCCCTGTGCTCACTCTATGGCCGCCTCATGTACATCCCAGCCTCAGGATATTTGCACTTGCTATTCCTTTGCCTGGAATGCTCTTCCCCTGTTTGACCACATGGTTCAGCTCCTTAAACTCCCTTGTGTTTTGGAATATTCTCAGTGAGGCCTTCTCTGACATATCCTTCCCTTATATCTCCTTTGTACTCCTACTTATTATAGGAGATGCCATGTGATTTACTCATTTATTTGGTTTATTATGTTTACCCCACGAGGATAAAGGTTAGATAAGAGATTAGGTATTTTTCTGTTTTTTTAATAGACTCTTCATAATGAGGAGTCTACATTTTTACCATCATATTTTCTCTTTTCTTTGCCTTTTTTAAAACCTTTTTTTGCGTTTTTATATTAAAGTTTTGTTTTCTCTTTTTACTTTTCCCCTTCTATCTGTTTGGCAGATATATTACTCTGTTTCTGTTCTTACAATGATTAACCTTTGAATTTAAATTTTACTGTGCATACTTAATTGATTTAATTTAATCTTAATAAACTCTTAACACTCCAGAACAATATTATCATTACCTTTAAGTTACTGATTTTAAACAGGCTTTCTGGATCATCTCAATACTTTATTTTTGTAAAATGTAAACATTCAACAATAAAACTAGTAGTTGTTACTATTTTCTGGTGATTTTGATTTTTTTTCCTTTTGGTTTATTAAAGTCAATTTATCATACACTTTAGTAGAATATTTTTGTATACTCAGCACTTTAAAGTTTATTTTTAAAAAGTATGTGATACTTTATCTTAGCGTTTTGCTGGTAAGTGTGCAAGAGAGTCAATTGAAAGCAATATGGTAGACATAGTTAGTGTAAAATGAATATTGCTCAAAAAGTAGGTAGGGACTACCACAAAAGGTTTGCCAGTTATTAGAAGTAGCTGGAATGAATTTGTGGAGGAGTGATTTGGAAAGATTTGGTGGTATTTGAAAGTGCGTATAGTGAAAAGGCACATATTGGTTCATTAATTTTATTCTCTTTCATATAATTTTGTCTTAAATATTGTGGGTTTGATGTAGACTTAAGTCATTGGTGTTTGAGAGAGAAGACATGCCTACAAACTTGGGAAATGCCTAAAGCTTTTTCGAGGGCCTACTTAAAATGGCATGAGACGATTCAATATGTGAGGGCAGAGGAACTGGTGACAGCTTGGACAAAGGCTGTGACATCAGGCATGAAGTGCATGAAAGGACAGCAGGACTTTCTGCTCAGTGAAATAAACCAGTTGCTAAAAGACAAATACTGTAGGGTTCCACTTATTAAGATGTATAGAGTAGTCAAGTTCATAAAAACAGAAGGTAGGGGCTGGAAAGAGAGGGATATGGGGAGTTCTTCAAGGAGTATAGAGTTTCTGTTTTGCAAGATGAAAAAGTTTTCGTGATTGGTTGTATAACAGTGTGAATATCTCTAATACTGAACTGTACACTTAAAAATGGTTAGATGATTAATGTGTATTTTACTACAATTAAATTTTCTTTAAAAAGGACAGATGGGCTTGTTTAAAATTGGGCTAAATTCTTATAAATTGTTACATTTTAGGTGGTAATTTAAAGGCAAATGGCATTTTTGCCTTTAAATGTTTAAAAGTATTGCCATATTTAGTCTCCCAATGTGAACTTCCAATCAATGAAACCCTCATATTTACCTACTTGGGAAATTTGTTCTCTTACTCTCTGCTGCCCATTCCTGACAACTTAACCAGGGCGTGGATTCCACACGGAGCTTGATCCACACTGTTCTTCATCACTGAACTTGATCTTGCATTCCTAATTTTAGGTCTCAGTTTTTCACTGTTACTTCTTTCTCCCAATTAGACTGTAAGTTCCATGTAAGTGTATGTCTTCTTTTCCTTATGTTCTTTGCGACAGGTTAATGAATCTTGTTAGTGCCTGAGCCAGGATTACTACTTAGAGCTCCCAAATCTCAGTGTGTTTTCCATTGAGGTTGAGATTTCTACCTGATAGGTGTCGTTATGTGAATGATACGTCTGACCTCATACCAATTATTTAGTACAATTTTGAACAAACATCAGGGAGAGATTTAGGAAAATACATTTAGAAAGATAACAGAACTCATTTCAAAATCTTTTTCCTAATGTTAACTCACAAAGTGCCTGTGTTTTTACCTTTTGTTAAAGAAGGTAGGAAATGTGATCACTGATGGACTCTATACCTACTATGAGCAGTCAGCTTACTGTGACTAACTTCCCCATATCAGCTTCTGTTGTTCTTCAGAACTTGTAATATAGTTCTTTGGATTTATGAAAATTTCTCTCATCTAAATGTAGAATCTAACTTATGATCTTAATCAAGATCTTTATGATCTTAATGGCTGTTTACTATATGTGAGCACTTATGCATGTAATGACATCTAATTCTCACAACAGCCCTGTGAAGTAGGTCCTAATATTATCTACATTTTACAGATGAGGAAACTGAGACACAGGTTACATTATGCAGTGTCCCATATCTAGCATGTAAGAGGAGAGGTAGAATTTCTATCCAACAGACTGGCTGTATATAATGTCCATATAACATTAAATAGGAACAAATATGACCTACATTCTTAGTATTTTTTAGGATTCTTTCAGTTGCAGGAGAAAGAAACCCAGCTCAAATTGATGCAAACAAAAGAGGGAATTGAGTGGCTTATTTAACAGTTAATGAAAGGCTTTAGGTATGGCTGGATCAACTCTGCTTTCTTGTTTGACCTTACTTTTAGACAACTGTTTTCCACTTAGTGACAAAGGTGCCCCCTTAGCTATTCCAGGTTTAAATGATTCCTTTAAGGTTTTTGGAAAGAAAGAGTTGGATCCTCTCTTCAAGGGCTAATGTTATTTCCTGAAAGACGGGCTCTGCTTGGGTTAGAATTTTCACACATGGAGTTGCTGGATACAAGGAAATGGAGGTTAGCGGTAATCAGATTGGCTGTCCTGGGCCATTTGTCCACCTCTGTAGTGGGTGAGTGGCAGCACACCAGGCAGAGAAAGTGCACATCCCAAAAGGACTAAAGAAGACAAAATAGGTGAGAACTATTTTGGTAGTGAAGAGGGAACTCTTGTTCTTTGATTAGGTACATTTCCCAGGTTAAGAGCCTTCTATCCTTAAAAAATAACTACTTTTTAGAAGACTTAAGAAATTGTTAAAATTTTGAATTCATGTGCAATTACAGTACAGGAAATGAAAGTACTTTGTAAATTACTATATAATTTTATTTCAATAATTCGTTTTGTTGTTGATGCTGGAGACTCACCACCAAATTTTTCTCATATCCTCCAATTTTCTTAATTGATTCTTTAACATAAAGACTCTTTTAGCAATGTCAACCAACTTTTCATGTGTTTATTAGCCTATTAGCCATTTGTATATCTCCTTAGGATACATGTCTATGTAGATCTTTTATCTGTTTTTCATTTGGGTTATTTGTCTTTATTGAGCTGTAGCAATTTTTTTCTTTCAGTTATAGTTGACATTCACTATTATTTTATATTAGTTCCAGGTGGATGGCATAGTGGTTAGACATTTATGTAATTTGCAAAGTGATACCCCGATTAGTATACCCCTGGTACTACACATAGTTAATACAATATTATCGACTGTATTCTCTATGCTGTACTTTACATCCCTTCAACTATTTTGTAACTACCAATTTGTATTTCTTAATCCCTTCCCCGTTTCTACCCAGCCCCATAACCCCCCCTCCTTTCTGGCAACCATCAAAATGTTCTCGGTATCAATGAGTCTGTTTCTATTTCGTTTATTCGTTTATTTTGTTCTTTAGATTTCACACATAAGTGACATCATATGGTATTTGTATTTCTCTGACTTCCTCCACTTAGCACAGTACCCTCTAGGTCCATCCATGTTGTTGCAGATGACAAGATTTCATTCTTTTTTATGGCTGAATAATGTTCCATTGTATATATGTACCACCTCTTCTTCTTTATCCATTCATCCATTGGTGGACACTCAGGTTGCCTCCATATCTTGGCCATTGTAAATAATGCTGCAGTGAACATATGCACATGTCCCTTCAAAGAAGTGGTTTTTTTTTGTTTTTTTTTTAAGATTTTATTGGGAAATTGCGGGAGGGGAAGAGACAAGTTGCTGTCCTTTTGTTCCTTCAGTCTAGTTGTGGAGGATGTTGCCTCACTGGCCCATGTTGGTATTATCATTGTGCTTTTCCTGGGTGAGGCAGTTACTCGCCAGCCATTGGACAGCCACTCACAGCTGCTCACGGCAGCTCGCATTGGCTGCCGGCCACTCATGCTGGCTGCCAGCCACTCACGTAGCTTTACAGCAGCCCACTGCAGGAGGGGCTGCAGCCTACGCCATCGCCAGCAACTCACAGCAGCCCAGCTCCAGGTCGAGCTGTTGTTCACCATCTTAGCTGTAGAGGGTGCAGCGTTACTGGCCCTCATGTGGGATCTGAACCGGGGCCCTGCTGCTCAGAGTTGGCGTCCCAAACCAACTCTTAACCAATGAGCCACTTGGGCAACCCCAAAGTAGTGTTTTATACTTCTTCTGATAAATACCCAGAAGTGGGATTGCTGGGTCATGAGGTAGTTCTATTTTTAATTTTTGAGGAATGCCTCCATCCGGTTTTCCATAGTGGCTGCACCAATCTGCATTCCCACAAACAGTATACAAGGGTTCCTTTTTCTCCACATCCTCTTCAGCACTTGTTATTATTTGTCTTGTTGGTGACAGCCATTCTAACAGGTGTGAGATGATATCTCGTTTTTTTATTTGCGTTTCTCTGATGATTAGTGGTGTTGAGTATCTTTTTATATGTCTATTGGCCATTTGTATGTTCTCTTTGGAGAAATGTCTATTCAGGTCCTCTGCCCATTTTTTAATTGGATTTTTTGGGTTTTTTGTTAAGTTGTATGAGTTCTTTATAAATTTTGGCTATTAACCCCTTATTGGATGTATCATTGATGAATATTTTCTCTCATTCATTAGGTTGCCTTTTCATTTTGTTGATGGTTTCCTTTGCTGTGCAAAAAGTTTTTAGTTTAATATGGTCCCATTTTGTTTATTTTTTCTTGTGTCTCCTTTGACTGAGGAGATATATCAGAAAAACGTGTTATTAAGAACATTTGTCCTGCGGATGGACGGGTTCTCTTCCGAGAGACTACCGCTGTGGAAGGAAGCGTCTATTTAGTTACGTCACCTGTGGTCCAGGCTTGGGAGCCTCAGAGGGTGTTCTCTGGAGGGGTTTAGCTGCTGCCAGGGCTGCTTTTCCTGAACACGCTGAAGGTATTTGGAGTCCCCTAGAAATGAATAAATTCGTCATCCGAACACCTAGAATCCAGAATAGTCCTCAGAAGAAAGATCTTGGAGAAAATATTTACAAGCAGGCCACGATTGAATCTCTGAAGAGAGTTGTGGTTGTAGAAGACATAAAAAGTCGGAAAACTATGTTGGAGCTTCCTGATCAAAGAGAATCTAATTGAAACCTTATGAAAATTAAAGAAGAAAATACCCTCCTGGGAAGTGTTAAAATCAACAAGGATAGGTCACACTGTGAACAAGATGCGTAAACACTCAGATTCAGAAAAGGCTTGTCTTGCCAAAGAAGTTGACACTGAATGGAGAACTTTCATTGAGAAATATTCAGATAGACCTTCCATTGAAGTCCGAAGTGATCCCAAAACCGAAACATTGAGGAAAAACGCCCAGAAATTAATCTCAGAAGCCTTGGAATTAGAGATGGATCACCTACTGGTTGAAAATATCGAGCGGGAAAGGTTTCATCTCTGCTCCTGCCTCATTAATCGGCCGCACTGGCGGACAGTGAGAGCCCTGGTCTTCACGTTAAAGCACCGAGCTGAAATCCGGGCTCAGGTGAAGAACAGCTCACTGCCCAGCGGCACATTTGTACAGACCTACAAAAAGTGACTTGAAGATAGTTCCAACCCTTGGCTGGGCAGAAAGGAAAATGTGCCCCTCACTGCCATTCAAAGACTCTTGAGTTTGGGTGATAGCTGATGCTGGCTGTGCTAAATTTTCCCATGGTGCCGTTCCTTCAGACAGAGTCTGCAGAGAGCACTGGGAGACAGGCCTGCAGGAAATGTGTCATTAGCTGTAGCGCCTGATGCTACCTAACAGGACATGTGCTGGCTGTCACTAAGAAGCACTGCTGTACGGTTGCCATCACTCAACAAGGCAAAAAGGTGACAGATTTCACTGCAAGTACACGAAGGACACCTCTAAACTTCCCCCATGTCAGGCAAATGAAGTTACTACCTTATTTCTCCACCCTGCAGGTAACTGAAACTCAGTTACTGCTGCCCCTCACTCGGTGCCATCCCCCTGAGTTTAGATAGCTCTGGTGCCTCTCAGAACTCCCCTGTCTGTTCTCTTTGCTCTACCCCAGGGGCGACCCTGCGGAGCCAGCCCACTACCCCTTCTTTCCAGAACTCACTTATCTGAACATTTCAGCTCTCCGTGGAAGACCTGCGCTGGTCTCTGGAGCCCCCATGCTGAGGCTTTTAAGGAGGAACTGGCCTGAAGCACCCCACGCCTTGGGGTTTATTTGAATACGTTGGCTCTCAGTTTAGGGCTGTGTAGAAGAAACATAATGAAATTCCTCTTGAAATGAATTACTGTAGTGGAAAAATTACATATATTTTAAAATGAAATACCTCTATATAGACCTTCTTAAACCATTATGTAAATGATACTTGCTTTTTTAAGAGCAATAATAAACTGGGACTTGTTTTTCTTAAAACAAATATATAGCTTGTTCATCGAAAAGTGTTTTGGGTTGAAAAAAAGTATAGTTGATGAAAAAAGAATTGTAGTGACAAGACTTGGAGGGAGACAGCAAGACCAGAGGAAGGTTTTGTTAGGTTAGGGGACTGGAGCATGTTTGTAATCTAAAAGGAGCCAATAAAAAGGGAGAGATTTAAAATACAAAAAATGAGGGGATGGATTAAAAAGGATAGAAGGGAAGGCACTAACGTTGTCTATCTTCCAAGTCCTAGATACTTTTCCTAAGATTATTTATTAGCACTTACATTGATCTTACGTAGTTTTTTTTTTTTTTAAGATTTTTATTGGGGAGTTGGGGGAAGGGGAACAGACAAGTTGCTGTCCTTTTGTTCTTCAGTCTAGTTGTGGAGGACGTTGCTTCACTGGCCCAAGTTGG